ACAGCCTCCTTCACTGGATTGGTGCAGAAGTCAATCCTCAGAGAGGGCTGCGTGGCCAGAAAACACCAACTGCAAGTACCACCTATGCCACAGAAGCTGCTGGCTGCCAGGGTCCGGAGCACTTCTGCTACAGGGTGCCTGGGTCACACCTTCTCACTCAAAGGAGACATTGGGGACCACTCCACAGTGAACACACATGCTTGCTTGTCTTGGACTTGATTATTTTGAAGCGTTCTTCTCTAAGCTGAAGCAGAAGTGTCTGCCTGAATGGGCAGAGTTATGCAGGTCCTTCATCAGGCAGCATCTGTATAGGAGGCTGGATCTTGGGTTCCTCTTGAATAATTAGATCTCTAGAGGGACCCTGAGAACCAGTTCATCCTACTAAGGACTTTTTAACACACTAGTAAAATCTGGAGATGATTCCCTGGAGCAATCTCCAGATCTCCTAGCCCTTATAGCTCTCAAGTAACCTGCAGTCCACAAGTATAAAATAGAAGGGTCCCATGACATCAGACAGCATCCATCCTTGTTGGCTGGGCCTCCAGGTGGCTCTTGGCACTGTACTTTCTAGTACCATTGACGTTAATATATGATAATAAGCTTCCTGAATGTCCACACAAATCCAAGCACTTCCTACACTGCTTCCTGGTCCTTTATATTATCATGCAAGGTCGGGATGGGCATGAACAGCACTTCAGAGGAAATGGCCAGGCACACAGTCATCTGAGATAAAGGTCACTGTTATAGTGGATGAGAGAAGAGGGATGGGAATCAGATGAGCTGAGTAATTCATTATGCCTATGAGTTTCACCAATTCATCTTGAAGATTCTGAATTTTTCTCCCTGGACAATCCGAAATCCAAAGGAAATAGGTCCTCGGGTTAGTTTATTCAATGCATTTCCCCCAAACCAGCATGGTAGGATGGCCATTCTAATAGGGTGCCACCTATTTATTTTCCAGTCCAATTTTATTATCCATTTGCCTCTAGGACTTGCCCCTGGAGGCCACAGTTAGAATTCTGCTAAATTTTCAGGCATAAAGATGGTTCTCCTTAATTCAGTGTCCCTTGAATCTCAACCAAAATCTCTTCCCTTCCTGTGCTGTGTAGGACTATGCTCCAAAAGGGAGAGGAAAACCTTTATTGATAACAACAAAACTCCTGAATCCTTTGGCTCTCAAATACTGCAGTATAGCATATCTTGGAAATACATATTAACTTAACAGCCAACGCTTAAAGGTAAAAAGTCAACTTCTATTGTATCAAGTTTTCTGCCAATCACCACAGGCTGCCTGCACAGCTTGCCCCACTGGCCAGCTTCAGGAATCCTTCTTGGTCAGTCTGGCCTTGACTTTGTGCCTCAGGAGGGCAGCAGTGGCAGCACTGCAGGTTGCCAAGAAGAAGAAAGAGAGGCAGGCCATATAGACAGACAGGGGCCCATGGCGCTGCAGGAAGATCTCCCGCCGCGCCTGGTAGTCCAGGAGGATGGCCTCCAGCTGGGAGAGCGTGCAGATGGACAGAAACGCATGGAAGATTTGGTGTCCATGGCCCACGATGTCACAGGAACCCGGGAAGTACTTCTCAGGCACCGGGCAGGAGAAGAAGTAAGCGCTGACCAGAAAGAAGAGGATCTGGAGGGTGTGGTACCAGGCTGCCTGCTCCTGGCAGCCAGCCAGGTGGCAGAGAGCCACGCGGTGTGCCACAGGGCTGATGTCCAGAACGAAAGCCAGCCCTGCGGGCACCACTTGGCAGATCTTCCTCATGACTGGGTAAGGCCTCCGGTAACGGTACTTGGCATAGCAACAGCCGGCACAAGACAACCAGCCGCAGAAGGCAGCTGCTGGCAAGAAGAAAAGCCAGAACCGCTCGTACCAGGCCTGGTCGGAGCTGTAGAAGAAGTGGGCCAAGGCGCTGCCGTACTGGTACACGCTCACGCCGACATAGTCCACGAAGTAGAAGGTGTAGTGGGAGAGCTCGGACTTGGACTGCAGCAGGTGGGCCAGCAGGCTGCAGGTGAGGTACGTGATGGAGGACAGGATGAAGAGCAGCAGCGGCAGGGAGTGCGGGGCAGCCCACGGCAGGGCCTCGGTCTCCGCGAAGGCCCAGAAGCGCAAGAGCACGGCCAGGGCCGCCAGCAAGTGGGTCCACACGTTGACCACCTCGTTGTGTTTCTGAAATAGGCTGAAGAAGTAGTAGCGCCACTCGTGCCCGGTGGGCCGGTAGCCGGTGTGGATGTAGGGCTCGCGGAAGAGCTGCGGCACGTCGCTCTCCGGGACCGTGCAGGGCATCTTGGGCAGCCCGTCCTCCAGGATCTTGGGCAGCCGGCGCAGCTGCTGCCCGCTCACCGACAGGGTGCTCAGGCGCTCCAGGATGGCGGTGGTCATGGCTGCGCCTGCCCGCCTGTGTGGCCTGGTGTAACCAGGGGGTGCAACCTGCAGAAAGAGAAGGAAGATTGACAAAACCACAGTGAGACACCAGTGCAGCCAGATGACCGAGGAACTGTGGCCGCCTTAACGCAACGCGGTTCTCGAGGGCAGTAGGGGGAGCTGGCCACTGCAGATGGCTGCGCCAAAGCTAATTTTCTTCTGTGCAGTGATGGACATGGACCAAGATCATTAACTGCCCTAACATGCTGATTCTGTACCTACTACAAACTACAGAGTGAGGCTAAGTCACATCTTGTAAAATGGAAATGTCAGCTACCCTAATATGAATCCATGATATCAGTGACTTAATGACTTTCAAGATATAATGATATCTACAAGGCAAGTAGGTGACCTTTAAAGGCTACTGGGTTTTCTAGGTATTGCCAAAATGTAATCATCAGACAGGCTCTAATACCATGAAATATTATAAATATTATGTTGAAACAGAAGAATTATAAATGTAGACATTACTAATGATAACCTATACATCTCTAGCACTTAGCTACCTTAAACCATCTGCTAATTTCATTGGTAACTTAAAAATCTGAAGTAAGCAATACTGAACCTTAAGTTAGAGACAGGTAAATGATTCACCAGTTAGGTTGGTAAAGATCAATGTATATCTGGGATACTTCAACAGTTAACATGTGGCTAAATTTAACATAAAATCTAATTGCAGAGATTGTTTTTCTTTTTCTTTCTTTTCTTCTCTCTCTCTCTCTCTCTTTTTTTTTTTTTTTTGGTTTTAATTATGGTCCTGAAAGCAAACAGTTTTGGATTTGCCTCTCCTGGATAACTACATCTGTACTCAGTGAACCCCCAGTGTCAGAAATGCTTAATTTACACTTGGCATTTCTAAGTGACTAATGAGCCAGATGAGCATAGCAATTATTTCAGAAAATATTTCATTAAGTTGCTGCAAAATTTTATACGGAGTTGCTAGGGAAAGAAATAGATTCTGAGCATATCTGCATTACCCTCTGTATTTATATTTCTCAAACGTTTTTCTTCAAACAAGTTCAATATCTGATTTACCTAAATGGCCCCCTTCTTTCAAAGACCCTCAATTAGGAGAGATACCATATGTGCTGCTCCGGGTACGACTAATTTTAGCACAGAAAATGTAATATTGCTATTCACACTTCTTAATCAATACTGAAAGAGAAAATAGTCTAATCAGGTTAAAAAAAAAAAAAGGTAGGGCATGGTAGCTAATAAAATGTGAAAGAAGTTCAGAAAGAGGTAGAGTCAAGCCCTGGCCTTGTCACTTCCTGGGTGACCTCGGGCAAGTTACAAAACTCTAAGCCTCAGCTTCGTTATCTATAAAATAGGGGTGATAATTCTATATTTGTACAGGTTATTGCGATGGCTAAGTGAGAGAAACTGAAACATGAAGTGCTTAGCACTCTGCCTGACCCAAGATAGGTGTTCAGTAAATATAAAGCACTACTGTTATTTTTATTACTATGAACTGGGCTCTGAGGTCGGCAGTAGGGACCAGGATATAAAGACTGATAAGAGAGGCTCTCTGCCTTTCAGGAGGCCACAGGCTACTAGGGAAACAGAAATGTAAAGGAATCAAGAGAAAAATGAGCAATAAGTGGAATAAGTGCTCCATTAGTGGCCTGTAAGGTTCAGAGGGTCTTGGCAAACACAATCAAAATAGGTGAGGTGGGGGTACCCCTTCTCCAAGCAACCTGTGAACTGACTCTTGAAGAAGTCAGAGTTTCTAAGAAAAGATAAAGGAGGGAAGGGACTTTCAGGCAGAGGTCAAGGTCAAAGAACTTTTGCCAAGATGTGGGCTTGGAAAGTCCAAAGCATCTGAAGTCTAGTTCACAGTTTGACCCTGGTGCCAGAGGGCCCTGAACTCCAATCCTGAGCCCCACTGTCAACGAGCTCCCTGACTCCAGTTTTGTTGTCTGTGAAGTAGAGTTAATGACAGGGAAGCTGCCTCACAAGGCTGAGTAAGAACTATATGATATGATGCCTGTAAAGTGTTTAAGTGTTTGGTTCCAAGGGTGCAAAAACATTTGCCATTATCATGACCATTGTGGTGTCAGAGGAAGGAATGAATGGTTCATGAGTGGAGGGCCTACTATCCCTTCCCTACTTCGACGGCAGCTACTGTAACCCAGTTTTGAGGCATTAATTCAGCCAGCACCTATCAGGCAGTGGTCTTCTGGCAGGAACAGGCCATGAAGTAGCACTCAATATAGTAATTACAGACACTAAGAGAAGGGTATTAAGGATTATGGGGCTAGCTGGAAAGAGAAAGAGAGAGGGAGTATGGGAAAGAAAAATAAAATGATCACTCAAAACATCTTAATTCTTCTAAAAACAACTGCAGTGCTTCCACTATCAGCCAGCAGAGGGATCCGAGTGCCTGGGAGTTAAGTTCTGGATGGAGGCTTCTCTAACCCACCTCGGTGGTCAATCAGCAGGAACGGACCTGGACATGGAATAACATTTTCAGTTGTCCTATTGCTGTTAGCAACACATAATCTGGGGGAGCTAGGCTTATTTGAGTTCTGGGGAATTAAAAGTGCTCTATCCTTTAGATACAGATTCCTACCATCTCTCGTGAAGCAGAGAAGGAAATCAGATAAGATTACCAATCTGATTTAATGGATGGGAGAAACTGAGGTGAGCCAATGGGCATAAGAAGCTATAGAAGAAGGAAGATGCCCTGAAGATGCCCCCTAGTAGCCCATCTACATACTGTTTAAGATCAAGGATAATCCCATCATCTTTGGGCATCCAAACCAATCTGAGACAATTCTTGTATCTAGAGTTGAAGTGTATAATTGCACAAATCTTATTTATCTTCATATCCTTGAAATTGGGTGTCTATTGCACAGCAGTTTCTTACAAACCAACTGAATTGCCAATGATTAAAACTTTGGATTTTAGTAGTTTAATGATTGGAATGGAACACGATTCAGACCTGAGAACTAAGCAGCCTCTCTTCTGAGGGAGAAAGGACAGAATGTGATGTGCCCTTATTGTCAGGCTGCAGAAAACCAAGATTACATAGTCCTGACCGTGATGGTTTCTCCAGCCCTCGTAGCATCAACCTTCCCCCATGGGTTTACATGACAAACCTTTTTCAGAAAATTATTTCTACTTTGCTCTTTTTTTTTTTTTTGTAGAGACAGAGTCTCACTTTATTGCTCTCAGTAGAGTGCTGTGGCATTACACAGCTCACAGCAACCTCCAACTCCTGGGCTTAGGTGATTCTCTTGCCTCAGCCTCCTGAGTAAGCTGGGACTACTGGCACCCACCACAACGCTCAGCTATTTTTTTGTTGCAATTTGGCCAGGGCTGGGTTTGAGCCCACCACCCTCGGTATATGGGGCTGGCGCCCTACTCACAGAGCCACAGGCGCTGCCCTCTACTTCACTCTTAAAGAAAATAAACTAGAAAGAAGAATATAGAATTAGGAAGCAGAGAGATATAAGACCAAGAGGATATTAATTTTAACTTCAAAGGAAAAGGTATGTAGGGAAAGAAGTTAGCAGAAGCATTTCCCTTGTAAATGAGATTTTTAAAATGCAGCTTCACCAGTTTCAGGGTTTCCTTAATAACTCCATGCCCTGGAGTATGTAACCTGATACCCACAAAAGGAGCAGGTAGTCCAAGGACACAACCACCAAGGCATCCAGCTCAGAATGTGATCCTTTATCTCTCTGGGCAATGAGAGTGCAGCAAACAAGTGCTCTGTCTGCGCATGAAAAGGACTTAAGTTTTCCTTTGAAGCGTAGAGTCATGAAAAATTCTAAACTTGTTATCCTTTCCCTTAGCAACTACCTCTCCCCTTGCCATGAAATTCTCCCTTTGAGAGAAGCCAACACAGTCACACTGATAGCAATGAAGTATATCATTCTTATATCATTATTAACTTCAGAGCTGCTGTCAGGTAGGGTCTAACCTTCCCCTAAGCCAAGCCTCATTTTCACCAATCAAGAGTGGGCAGTGCTTCAGAACAGGATTCCAAGGGCTAGCTGTAAAGTTGAAGTCTGTTTTGGAGGAAGCCATATGTTGGCATCACGATGTTGATCTTCCCAGACTTCCCAGGTAGCTTGCTTCGAGCAAGGGTCCCTCCCTCATTTCTGGCCTCTGTCCCCAGGCACTCCTCCTCAAACTGATATAGCTAGCAGCTGACCAAAATGCTACCTTAGAATGTAATGCAACCTGCCTTGGGACCACACACTCAAAGCTTCTTGAATTTATGGATTCCCCAGGTCAATGGTCACTCATGCTCGGTTCAAACCTCTTTAAATAACTTTACTAAGCCGGGTGTTTTCCCATTAGCAGGAGGTCATTTCTTGTCCCTGAGCTTGTTTCAATGCTTATGTCCCCTGAGCTCTGCAGGATTCTTGGTGCTAACCAATGCCTCCTCCTTTGGCACTAGTCCTGCTACCCTTTCTGGCCCTATCTCTGTTCTCTTCTCCCACCATCTCTGTCAATTGTGGTGTTTTGAGAGTTCCACTAACTGCCCCTGTGTCCACAGTGCCTCTCACACAGGTACTGCTCTCAGGCCCTCAGCTTCAGCTAGCACTTTCATTAGCTAATCACCAAATATCCAGCCAGATCTTTCCTAGATTCAAATATATAATTTCTCTAGATGTGTGCAACTGAATATCCCATACGTACTTCAAACCCAGTATCTTCCAACCTCCCCTTCAGCCCAGACTCAACCCTTCCCCTACATCTAATCAGCCCTCTAGGCCTGCTGATTTTTTTTTCTTTTTTTGAGACAGAGTCTCTGTCTGTCTCTTGAGCTAGAGTGCAGTGGCATCATCGTAGCTCAAACTTCTGGGCTCAATAGTTCCTCCTGCCTCAGATTCCCAGAGTGCTAGGATTGCAGGTGTGAGCCTGTTGATTTCATCTCAACATTTTTAGAATCCATTCCCCTTTCCATTTGTACTGCTCTCCCTCACTTCAGGCCTTCATAATTATCTTACGTTAATGACAATAGCAGTCTCACAACTGAACTTTTTCCCTCC